GTATGCTTTTCTCTTTCCTTCTAGTTGTAGAATTTCCACTCAGCCAGCCTTCCTGTGGTTCTGGATGATGTCCATTCTGTCTTTTAGTTGTATTTTTGAAGTGGTTGTGCGAGGCAGCAATCTCTGGTGTTTACCTATGCCGCCATCTTGGTTTCCCCTATTTTGTATTTTAATTGTGGTGATGGTTATTACAGATAAGGATGCTGTGAACATGAATGTACATGCTTTTTTGAAGACAAAAATTTTCATTTGTTGTTAGTAAATATTTAGTAACATGGTAAGTGTAAGTGTTCTGGTTCCTATTGCTGCAAAATAACAATTTTCCCTAAACGTTAGCAGTTTAAAACTCTTTTTTATTTTGCTCATGATTTCCTGACCAAGGAATTAAGGAAGGGCTTAGTGTGGCAGTTCTCTCATGAGGTTTCAGGGGCTGATGTCATCTGAAGACTCAGTTGGGCTGAGAATCCAGGATGGCTCAAGAACATTGCTGGCAGCTGGGTCAGCTGGTTAGTGGACCAGAGCACCTGCATATCCTGTATAATAAAAGCATAGTGGGCAAATTGTCCCCTCGACCTGGAGTTGTCTGGGAGTTCAACCAAGGGGTGGGGTTGGCCAGGGGAAGGGAGGGAGGCCCTGACCGGCAGCCAGCAGCCACTAGGTACCCCACCAGTGCACAAGTTTTGTTCACAGGGCCTCTAGTGATAGTATCTGCAGCATGTAATCTCAACATGTAAACTCTCTCTAAAGCAAATTTCCTAAGCTAATTTTGGGGAGGCTGCATGACATTTTTGACCAGGTGTTGAAAGACAAGTGGTTACTTTCACTGCATACTATTACTTACATGCAATTCAAGAAGGTCAACCCAGATTCCAGGTGTTGAACATTTAATAGAATATACATATGTTGAACACCTGAAATTTATACAATGTTATTACCAATGTTACCCTAATAAACAATGAAAAACAGGAAATTTTGGCATTGTCAGAAGCAGAACTCTCCACAAACAGGGTGAGTTTGTAATATTATGGTAATATTACTTTACAGCTTTCATCTCAGACCCCATTCACTGGGTTATTGTTTAGTTTAAATCAGTTTCCTGCTCCTCGACCCCACTAACCCTCTGACCACTGCTGTTTCTGTAGGAAACCAGACCCAGGTGCTGCCCCAGTGTGACTCCATGTCTGCACCAGCAGGCTCTGCAGCCTCAGAGGAGAGCCCTGCCAGCTGCTCAGGTGAGGGCTCCACCAAGACCAGAACACCCTCCTCTTTCCCTGTGTAAATACCCCATTGGCCTGACTCTCTCTCCTCAGACAGGGGACAGCTCCGCCTGGTGGACGGGGGCGGTCCCTGTGCCGGCAGAGTGGAGATCCTTCACCAGGGCTCCTGGGGCACCATCTGTGATGACAGCTGGGACCTGAACGATGCCCAGGTGGTGTGCAGACAGCTGGGCTGTGGAGAGGCCCTCAACGCCACGGTCTCTGCTCACTTCGGGGAAGGATCAGGCCAGATCTGGCTGGATGACGTGAGCTGCACAGGAAAGGAGTCCCACGTGTGGAAGTGCCCTTCCCGGGGCTGGGGACAGCACGACTGCTGGCACAAGGAGGACGCGGGGGTCATCTGCTCAGGTCTCACTGCACATTGTCCATAGGCTGGGGGGAGAGGGGAGGGTCTCGAGGATCGGAGTCTGAGCCCTGAGACGTGTTGCTGAAAGGGCCCCAGAGTCTGTCTTACTGGCAGGTATGGAGATTGGTGCTTTCATTTCCTCCTGCACCAGCTGAGGCTCTGGTCCTTCCTTCTCAGCAATATCCCTGACAAAGCCATTTCTTTTCTTTTCTTTTTAAAAAAAATATATTTTATTGATTTTTTTACAGAGAGGAAGGGAGAGGGATAGAGAGTTAGAAACATCGATGAGAGAGAAACATTGATCAGCTGCCTCCTGCACACCCACTACTGGGGATGTGCCCACAACCAAGGTACATGCCCTTGACTGGAATCGAACCTGGGACCCTTGATTCCGCAGGCCGACGCTCTATCCACTGAGCCAAACCAGTTAGGGCCAAAGCCATTTCTTACAGAGTTTCCATTAAAAGCGGGGCTCACTCTTCAGTTGCCTATGGTAGTAAAATCTTGAGATCCTACTGATATTGTAATGAATTACCATATACTTAGTGTTTTAAAACCACCCCAATTTATTACCTTATAGTTCTGTGTGTTTGAAGTCCGACCGGAGTCTCACTGGGCTGACACTGAGGTGTCAACAGGACTGCATTCTTTCCGGAGGCTCCAGAGAAGATTTCTTTTCCCTGCCTTTTCTAGTTTCTAAAGAAGGTGCACACTCCTTGATTCCTACTTCCCTTTCTTTTTCTTCAAACAAACAATGTTGCCTCCCTCTGACCATTCTTTCCTACTCACATTTCCCTCTGACCTGAAGCTGGGAAAGTTTATTTGTTTTTTAGGAGAGTGAGTCTACTGGTAAGGATGTGATTAGACTAGGCTCACCTGGTTAGTCCATGATATCCCAAATTAATCTCACCATTCAACGTCCTTATCTTAATAGTAACTATACAGTCCCTTTCACCATGTTAGGAAACATATTCACAGGTTCCAGAGGGGAGGATGTAGGAATTTGGGGTCTGTTATTCTGTCTACCGCCCACTCTCCACACTTCCTTTCACATACTCTGTCAGAGGTTTGTCAGGAAGCGGCATTCAGCTTGTCCTCCCTGCGGAAGGCCCAGGTTGGTGATCCTCTCTCCACTACATCATTGAAGTAGAGATAGGCAGACACAAATGGACAAAGTCAGGGAAAAGGGACACAGAGTTCTATCTTGCCACTTAGGGGCGTCTCCTCAGCAGTCAGCGACAAGTGTTCACAAGCTCTGGGAGAGAGCACTGAGTGGCATGCTCACTGTGCCCTGTTTCCCCTCTTCCACTTTCAGAGTTCCTGGCCCTCAGGATGGTGAGTGAGGACCAGGAGTGTGCTGGGTGGCTGGAAGTTTTCTACAACGGGACCTGGGGCAGTGTCTGCTACAGCCCCATGGAAGCCATGACCTTGTCCACGATCTGCAGACACCTTGGCTGTGGGGACAGTGGGACCCTGGACTCTTCTGTTGATTTTAGGGAAGGTTCTAGACCCCGGTGGGTAGATGGAATCCGGTGTCGGAAAACTGATACCTCTCTCTGGCAATGTCCTTCTGACCCTTGGAAATACAGTTCATGCCTTCCAAGAGATGAAGCTTATATCACGTGTGCAGGTGAATTACTGTCTGTTTCTATGTGTCCGTGCCACCCCTGTAAGATATAGTTAGTGAGACTTTATGTTTTCAAATCTAAGGGATGATTGTAAGATGAGTCTACAAAATAAAGTTGGATGAAGATGATTTAATGCATATGTTGTAATCTTGTTTCAAAGGAAAAAATAAGAAAATCCATGTTCACAGCAATTTAAGTGAAAAATATCAGGAAGATTGGAAAAAAAAACTTGTAGGGAGCACAAATAATATTCTGATAAACTTTCTAAGGAATTGCTAAAAAATTAGGAGTGGTTAAAAGATCTGCATAATACCTTGAAGTAGGTAAGGGACAGAGCAGTGAATCAATCTTGACGGCTTTGTCTCTTAAACTCATGGTATTTTACTCTGAAATGCATCTATACCACTTAGACTACTTTTCAAGTCAGTCTGTTGGTCTATAGTAATTGAGTGCCTGAAGGTACAAATTTATACTATAGGTAAGAGGACAGAGAAGAGAAAAAATATGTAGTCACTGCTCTCATAGAACTTACAATCCAGCGCTGAAAACTCTTATGAGGCAGAAATTTCAAGTGTCATGAAGCATGAGAAAGTGGTTGGAAATGTGTAATTTGGGCCAAAGATGAGATCATATTTAGATGGAGACTTATAGGAAGAGTAAGAATTTCTTTTAAAAAATATTTTTATTGATTTCAGAGAGGAAAGGAGAGGGAGATAGAGATAGAAACCTCAATGGCGAGAGAGAATATTGATGGGCTGCCTCCTGCACGCCCCCTACTGGAGATTGAGCCTGCAACCTGAGCATGTGCCCTTGACTGGAATCAAACCCAGGACCCTCCAGTCCTCAGGCCAATGCTCTATCCACTGAGCCAAACCAGCTAGGGCAAGAGTTTCCTAAAGGAAGAGAGTCAAAAGATCATTTTGGTTAGTGTAAATACTGAGTAGGGATAGGTCATGATATATTTGAGGTACCGAGAATATTCCATCCTGGGCAGAGCAGAAAGAGAGCAAAGGAGAGGAATACAGGATTAGCCTGGAATGGTGAGCAGAGCAAAGACCTCTGCTAGGGAGGACCCAATAAAACAATCCTGTTAAAGAGGAATTTGTATTACTTCTTGGCTGCCACAACATGGAGACCTGCTGGGAGGTTAGTGACCTCAGGTCCCCATATCTCACACTGAAAAATAGATAAGTTTAGAATCTGCTGTATAATTTCCCTTTAAAAAGTAGAAGTGGAACATTGAATACAAATTACTTCTGTGGTTCTGGACTTATTTGTTTTTAATATTCACTATTTATTACCACAATTCATGAATATTAATTTGTATTTCTTTTATTATCTTACTGATCAGCAAGAACTTAAGTGAGTTATATTTCACTGGATTTTATTCATTGATCCAGTCATTCAACAAATGTTGATCAAGCTCCTATACCTACTATTTATAGAAGATCATCAATGTATACTCATTGAATGAATGCATATAATGTGCCAGACACTGTCTTAATAGCAGAAACACAGAGGTGAATAAGATATGCAAGGTTCTTCCTCTAGGGGAGCTTTCATTTAGGTGTATGTGGTTTGTGTGTGTGTGTGTGTGTGTGTGTGTGTGTGTGTGTATGTGTGTGTCTGTGTCTGTATTTGTTGTGGTATGTGGAGAGTGATAAACAAGTAAGTAGATAAAGTAATTTTGGCTGGTGATAGAAGCTAGGATCCAGTGAATGTCTCAGTAACTCAGCCTATTAGATTAAAAAAAGGCCTGTGTTTTCCCTTGTCATTGGACTGAACCAAGGACCTTAAATAATCTTGTTGTGGGGCAAGACCATGTCCAGCTGTTCCTGATCCAGTGCTTTCCCATTGTCTACTTTGCAGGAAGAAGATCCAAGAGCTGTCCCTCTACTGCCCCCTGCACAGGTACATCAGCCCCTCCCACCTTCCCTGTTGGCTCCCAGAACCTCCTTCCTTTCCACCAGAGGCAGTGACAGGAGGTGGTGCTGCCTTTTCAGACAAAGACAAGGTCCGACTCAGGGATGGAGACACCAAGTGCTCAGGGCGAGTGGAGGTTTGGCACAATGGCTCCTGGGGCACAGTGTGTGATGACTCCTGGAGCCTGGCAGAGGCTGAGGTGGTGTGTCAGCAGCTGGGCTGTGGCTCTGCCCTGGAAGCCCTGCAGGAGGCAACATTTGGTCCAGGACATGGGCCCATCTGGCTGGATGAGGTGCAGTGCAGGGGCAGGGAGTCCTCCCTGTGGGCCTGTGCTGCGAAGCCCTGGGGGCAGAGCAACTGCAAGCATGAAGAGGATGCTGGCGTGAGGTGCTCTGGTGAGTGGAGGAGCGTGGGTCCGGCTCTGGTTGAGCTGGGGTAGGGGTGGGACAATGGGCTGGGCTGGAATAAGATGGGGAGTTTGTATTTAGAAAGTATCTAGGTTCTGCAGTCCTAGATCTAGGAGACGGGTGCTAGGAGGACTCAGTATTGATATCAATAACTGAGGGGTGATTTCAGGGCTCAGGTGGGAAAAATGGGTTAACTCGTGTTCTGGCCAATTTCTGCACTCCAAACTCCTGTTTGTCTCTCTAGGTGAAAGAACAACATTGCCCACCACTACAGCAGGTACAGTGTCACCATCCATTCATGGGGGAGAATGTTCAAATTCCTGGGACATGTCCTGAGGAATCTCTGACAGAATTAGCCAACTCAGGAAAGGAAATCCTGAGGAACAACTGGATGGTAGGGAAGTATCAAGGTATTTTCATTGGAGAAACTTCCCCCCTTTTTTTGTTCACCGTGCCAGAAGTTTCTCATGCCCTCAGGCCATCGGAGGCTGGCTCTTATGTTGAGAATGTAAGGACTTTTTTTCACCTGCTCATGAGTATTGCTCCTCAGCAGCTATGCTAGGTTGTTTGATGCTCTGATCTGGTGAAGCCCAAGAGAAGGGGTTGAAGCTGTGCCCTGGCCTTTAGAGGTTGTTGTAGCCCCGGAGATCCCTGATGATCCCCAGCATTCCTTTGGACCACAGTGGAGGGGGAGTTGAATTTATCTTAGGACATGGCCTGGGGGAGTGCCCACCAGGGTCACAGTCAATCCCATTATGTTGAAAGCTGAGACTTCACTGTTCTGAGCTCTCTGGAAATGCTGTCATAAGTGAGTTTCCCTGCACATATGTCCTTCTTGATATTCTCTTGGCTTTGTTCTTTCTAGGGACCAGATCTGGCCCAAGTCCTGTACCTGGCATCTTCTCCCTGCCTGGGACCCTTTGCCTCATCTTAGGGGCCCTTCTCTTCCTGGTCCTCATCATCCTGGCGATTCAGCTGTACAGAGGGAGAGTGGAGCACAGAGGTGGGTAATATGGAAAATGTATGGAGGCAGGAAATGGGGCCAGGTGTGACAAGGGGAAAATTGGGCAAGGTATCTGTTCTTACCCCATTGGTTTGCAAAATCCATGTGCCCCATGTTAGCCTCTAAGGGCAGAATATATAGAAGTTCTTAAGAATGGGATGTGGCCTGGCTGCTGTGGCTCAGTGGTTGACTGTTGATCTATGAACTAGGAGGTCACAGTTCGATTCCCAGTTGGGGCACATGCCCAGGTTGCGGGCTCGATCCCCAGTAGCAGGTGTGCAGGAGGAGGCTGATCAATGATTCTCTCTCATCATTTATGTTTCTATCTCTCTCTCCCTCTCCCTTTCTCACTGAAATAAATAAATAAATAAATAAATAAATAAATAAATATATATTAAAAAAAGAATAGGGTGTGAGCACTCATAATCGTGGCTTTTTATGTGAGACACAAAGGGTAAAAGCTGAGCTTTGGATACAGGGTCAGACAAAGGTAAAAGGTGCAGACCTGGTGCATGGGTATAAGACTATATAGGGCAGCCGTTCTCAACCTGTGGGTCGCAACCCCTTTGGCGGTTGAACGACCCTTTCACAGGGGTTGCCGAAGACCCTGCATATCAGATATTTACATTATGATTCATAACAGTAGCAACATTACAGTTATGAAGTAGCAACGAAAATAATTTTATGGTTGGGTCACAACATGAGGAACTGTATTTAAAGGGCCAGAAGGTTGAGAACCACTGATATAGGGCTCCTGGAAGCTGTGAGGTTTTTTCCATGTGTGAGCATCGGGGATAATGAAGGTGTCTCAGGTGGCAATCTCTGATCTGCTGGTGGTTTTCTCAGCCTTGTCCAATTTAGAATATGCTCTTGATGAAGCCATGTATGAGGAAATTGATTATCGGGCATTGCCGAAGAAAGAAGCTCTACTGAGCAGCCCAGGTGAGTATCCCTGCCTTGCCCTCCTGGGACCTCTACTTTTCAGCCACCTGCTGGCTATGGTCCAGGTCTTCTCAGCATCTGCAGACCCCACATGTACCCCAGGCTCACAGAGGCAGGATGAGCCTCTCCAGAGCTCCTGGGAGCTCTACCCTTCCCTTGACTCCATAAGAGCCATGCTAGCCCCAGCATTTCTTCTCAGCCTTACTGTGGAGCCTATGGGTGTGGGAAGGGTTGTTTGCCCCAACCTGCACGGCTAGGGTTCAGGATCTGAAGGAGGGGCCGATGCACAAATGAAAATACTATATAAGAAGTATGAATTTAGAAGGCATGGGGGGCTGGGTGGAGACCTCTCTTTTGGAGAGACACACTGAAACCTGGCCTTATCCGCTTTTTAGATACACATCTTGCCCTCAGTAAAGCACGGCAAACAGGTAGCAGACAGACCATCTCTAAGGGCAATAATGATCAGTAAAGATCAGTAAGGTCCAGTAAACATTTACTTTGAGGCTATTAGGTCAGGAAATTGCTTTGAGCCACTACAATCTGAACAGAGCAATGATGCTTGACATTAGCCCTGCTAATCGACCAAGGTCCATCTGCCTTCCGAGTTCCTTGGCGCTCTCTCATGAGAGTATCGGTAGTGAATGGCTTCCCGCAGTTGTTTTTTTGTTTGTTTGTTTTTGTGATTTTTTTCCTCCACAGTAGGGTTTCTGTCAGATGACTCAGTGAAAAAAAAATGCTATATTACACCAGAGATGGTGAGAAAAGTGACTATAAATATGTTCTAGGTAGTTGAGGTAGATCTGTCTTGGCTGGATAGTGGGGGCAGAAGAATTTCCCTCAGAGATGAGAGCTAAGGGAAATAGTTTTTCTTTGACTAAGATTAGAGGGGTCGCTTCCTCTTCTCTGGTGGCTTTGAAATGCTTCATGTTGGGGCCAGGCTCTCGGTGTCCAGAACCAACCTCATTCAGCCACAGCAGGCACAAATTGTTTTTTAAAAAATAACATCTGGAAAGTATGATCTGATAAAATATTTTAGTAATGCTTTTTGGTATAAGAGTTCTTTGAAAATATGAAGTTTTAATCAAGGAATATTGAAATATTTGGATAACTTTCTGGTTTATTGGCCCATAAAAATGAAATATATGGCCTTAGAAAAGACCTGTTAAATCATGGGGCGAATGGTGCCTCTGATTAGCAACCACCAGAATCTCTGGGTCAGAAAGGATTCTAGGCATTACCTAAATCAGTGATGGCGAACCTTTTGAGCTCGGCGTGTCAGCATTTTGAAAAACCCTAACTTAACTCTGGTGCCGTGTCACATATAGAATTTTTTTGATATTTGCAACCATAGTAAAACAAAGATTTATATTTTTGAAATTTATTTTCTATATTTAAATGCCATTTAACAAAGAAAAATCAACCAAAAAAATGAGTTCGCGTGTCACCTCTGACACGCGTGTCATAGGTTCGCCATCACTGACCTAAATCAATCCATTTACTGTGGTTTCACCTGACCCCCTTGTCTGCCCTTAGAGCCCTCAGCTCAGAGGACTGATGCCTTTAGCGAGATTTACGATGATGCTGAAGAGGTACCAGTGCCCCAGGCTCCTTCTGCCTCCCAGATGAATGAGTGGGAAGTGTCCTTAGAGGAGAATGGAGTGAGAATTTTTCAGATAGGTGAGTGGGATTACTTGATCCCTATCATATTTTGTCTCTGGCCTGGAAAGGATGAATTTGGTCTCTTCAATGCCCATTCTTATTGTAGATTCAAAATTTGGATGACCTAATATGTTTGATAGCATTACTTAGACCAGTGGTCGACAAACTGCGGCTCGCGAGCCACATGAGGCTGTTTGGCCCCTTGAGTGTGGCTCTTCCACAAAATACCACGTGTGGGTGCGCATGTAACAGTGCGATTGAAACTTCGTGGCCCATGCTCAGAAGTCAGTATTTTGTGGAAGAGCCACACTCAAGGGGCCAAAGAGCCGCATGTGGCTCGCGAGCTGCAGTTTGCTGACCACTGAAGACCATATTCATTTCTTTAATGCTTTTAGATTCCTTGGGAGGGAGGAAGCACTCTGTAGTCTTTTTATCTGTGTTTTCATCACTTTATCCTCAATGCGACTGCATTAAGGCTTGCAGATTAATTGAACATATTTACCAAATCCAAAAATGGAACAACTGTTCTTTTAAAATTTTTGTGTTGTCTTATACATAAAAGGCAGTAAGGGATTTAAAAAAATATTGCAATATTGGAATTTGTGAGACATTTTGATAATTTAAGATGTGCTATGATCATATATGTTAGCCCTAACAAGGTCTATGATATATGGTGACCTTAAACATTAAAGCCACTGTGGTGGATTATAGACTCAGAATTTGTAGGCAGCCAAGGCCTAATCCTCTCTAGACATTTAATGGCCAAATGAAGATACTTATTCTCCAGAGAAGAGTGTCCATCTGAGGGTTCAAGTGATTCCATGGGGCAACTGTGAAGGAATTCTGTGATTGTTTTTGTTGGCATCTGGGAACATAAATCAAGGCCAGCAAGAGAAGACTTGGATTTTCAGTGAAGAACTGAGATTTCTCCAGATATGGTCTCCTTCTCCTTGTGAATGCAGAGCTGGAAATTGTGAAAGAAGCTTTCACATTTTGTCATGTAATTCTCACCATTCTTGGGTCATCTCCCTGTTCAGTGTGTAAGCCAGGGAAAAGGTCTTTAGAGAGTGCATGTCCTGGTCACAGATCTCCTGTGATCCAGGGTTTCCCAGATAAGCTGTGGCCCAGAGACCCACATGGACTGGATCCTGATAGGACAGCCCTGGTACACCTTTGCTGAAACTAATATTAAATAGTCGGAGCCTACTTGAGCATTAATAGGTCCCCAGAGATGCTTTCTTATTACCATTTACTAGACTTACTTCTACTTTGGGGCACTGTCCTGTGCCTCTATCACAGTTCTAATTAAACTTCTCTTTACTGTTGCAGGCTCCTCTCTGAACTTCCCTGAAGGGGCAGCTCATCCTAGGAAAGAAGATAGTCCCTGGCTGCTCCAGGGGGGAGAAGAGGATCCTGAGTATGACGACGCTGAACTAAGTGCTGTTGGAACATCTACAGTAGCTTTCCATGCTGTTGTGTTAAAAAAGAGATGAGGCCTCAGATAGTCTGTCTCTATTCCAGCAGGGTAGTACTGACCTATAATTATATTATATTATATGGAAATTGCTCAAAATTAACTATTCTGAATAGAGCACTTTTTGCTTTGTTGATAAATTAGCAAGTTTGATCTAATTGCTCTTAGAGGAGTGGTCCTCAATCAGTTTCCCTATGAAGATATTGGGAACTGACCTGTTTATTCATCTCCCCCACAAACTACTCATGGCATTAACTTTGCCCAGGCTCATGGGTGCTCAGGTCATTCTTGCTTAGACAAGGGACTCTAAAGTTGGTCCACACTCACACCCTCATTCCTAGCAAGATGAACTCATAAAAAAATCCTGAACATTCATGTATGCTCTTTGCTGAGATGTCACATCATCTGTTTTTCAACAATTTCCAGAAACCAGACTTGGGTGTGAATTTCAAAGTTGAGGGTGAGAGGCTGGCTAGTAAGAGAGAATGAGTAAAGCTTTCCTTACTCTGTCCAAACTTTTACGGAACAATTAAAAATGTAATTTTATATAACTGTTTCTTCTTTTTTCACCTCTAATTTCCTAAGCTGCTTTTCATTTATTACTCAAGCTCATACAGTCTCCTTACTTTTTCCTCATGTCTAGTTGGTTATGAAATCCTTTTAAATTCAGATTTTCCTCTCCATTCCTTTCTCATATTTATTTAGGACATTGCCATTTATTGTCTGTTTAATCATAAAGCCTTCTAATCAAATTATATCAACTCATCTCTTTTTATTGCAAGTTGATGGAGGAGAAATTGGCACTCACCCACAGACCTGCATCCAGTAGGCAAGAAAACAAGGAAGAGGAGACCTAGTCAGAGGAAACCCAGAAGGAATACAGACAGAAAAAACAAGAACTTTTGGCTACATGAGTTTTGCAGATTGGATGAAGGGATCTGACATGATTAAACTAATAGAAAAATAATTTCAGACCAGTGGGCTTCTCTGAAAATATATTGCTTTAAGGTTGCTTTGATCTGGTGACTATTTAAAATACACATGTGGCTTTGCTGTGATTCTTGAGTAAAGAGATATTCTGCAGCAGTGGCCAAATAAAGATTACATCTTCAAAACTCCACCACAATAAATGTGTGGAGAGGTTGATGAACTAATATAAGAACTAATGTAAGAAGTGAGCTGATCCCACCTAACTACTTAACTGGTGGTTATGGATGCCGTCTGGGGCCAGGGGGACGGGTGGGGGGGGAGGAGGG